AGATTTCCTTTCATCTAAATCTCCTCCCAATCAAGATCTCGAGTAGCCTTCAAGTCGCAGCATCCTTGCCTTGATAACTCAATGAATAATTAGCAAGTACCCTTTAGATACCTCATGATTCTTTTTACGGCTTTCCAATGTGCTTGACCTGGATTTGATTGGTACCTACTTACCATCCCAACCGCAAAACATATGTCAGGTCTTGTACACATCATAGCGTACATTAAACTTCCAATAGCACTAGCATAAGGAACACGTTTCATTTGTTCCTTCTCTTGTGGAGTCTTAGGACACAACCTATGGCTCAATCCTTCACCTTTGCAATAGGAGTATCCATGGGGTTTACAAGATCTTGCATACAAAATCGTTCAAGAACTTTATTTATATAAGTCTCTTGCGAAGAGACAAATAATCTCTTGAACGATCTCTTGAAATTTTAACTCCAAGAATATATGCAGCCTCACCCATATCTTTCATCTCAAAATTGGACGATAACCAACTCTTAATAGTATTAACCAACTCCATATTGCTTCCCGCAATCGGTATATCATCAACATACAATGATAAAATCACAAATTGATCTTTGGATCTTTTGATATACACACAATGATCTTCATCAATCATTGTAAAATCAAAACGCCACTATGGCATTATGAAAACGATCTTAGAAGTCGAAGACCGCTTTAAGGCCATATATCGATCTTAGAAGTCGACATACTTTTTGTTCTTGGCCTTTCACAATGAAGCCTCTTGTCTGCTCCATGTAAATTTCTTCTTCTAATTCTCCATTTAGAAAAGCGGTCTTTACATCCATTTGATGTAATTCAAGATCCATGCTTGTCACTATTGCGAGAATAAGGCGAATTGAGGTAAATCTCACTTACGGGAGAGAAAGTTTCTTCATAATCAATTCCTTCCGTTGATTATACCTTTCGCCACTAGGCGAGCCTTATATCTTTCTATTGAGCCATCGGATTTGCGTTTTATTTTGAGAACCCATTTATTCCCAATAGCTTTGCGTCCTTCCGGAAGATCAACCAGCTTCCCAAACACGGTTTGACTTCATTGACTCCATTTCTTCTTTCATTGCAATCATCCATTTTTCTTTTGTTAGGGCAATTTAGAGCCTCATTTACATTCCTTGCCTCGCCTTCATTTTGTAGAGCGATCATGAAAGTTTCCCCTTCAATTTCAAAACGTCGTCGGGGAATACTTTTGCGACTTGTTCGCCGTATGCGAGATTGTACACGTGGTATATCATTCTCCATTATGGTCCCACTTGGATTAGATAATGACGGAATCGTCTCATCAAAGGTTACAATTGAGATTGAGTCGAATTCAATTCCTCATTTCTCACATTGCTTCCACTTGGACGAACTTTATTGATTTTACTATTAGGATCCAAGGTTTCAAATAGTGAGTAGTTTTCACCTATTTCGCCCTTCTTAGGAAACTCATTCTCTAAGAATGTGACATCTCGTGATTCAAATTCAGTTATACTCCCACTTTCTTGCTCACCTATAAATACATATCCTTTTGAGGTTTCAGAATACCTTATAAAGATACTCTTCTTACCTCTAGGACCTAATTTCCCATACTTATGAGAAGATTCATGTGTATGGAGCTACGGCCCCAAGGTTTTAGAAAACTCAAATCGGATTTTCTACTTTGTTCATAACTCATACGGAGTGGAAATAACTGATTTAGAAGGGACACGATTAAGTATGTAGGCAAGAAGCATAAAGCGTCACCTCAAAAGGTGATAGGTAAGTTAGCCCGCGCCATCATGGACCCAACCATTTCTAGTAGGGTTACGTTTCTCCTTTCGCAACACCATTTTGTTGAAGAGTATAGGGAATAGACAACCGCCTTTCTATTCCCTTTTCATCACACAAATTTCTAGAACTCATCATATAAATATTCTCGACCTCGATCGGATCTCAATACTTTTATTTTCTTATCTAATTGATTTTCCACCAAGTTCATAAATATCTTGAAGCAACTAAAAGCCTCGAGATTTATGAGAAATCAAATAGACATATCCGAATCGAGTATAATCATCAATAAATGTGATAAAATAAATAGCCCCATGTCTAGCCCTCACATTCATTGGACCACAAATGTCGGAATGGATTAACCGCAAGGAAATTCAGCTCTTGTTCCTTTTCCAAATGGTTTCCTTGTTGTTTTCCCAAATAGGCAAAGGTTTCACAAGTGGGCAAGTCGACTTTTTTCAATATTTCCCATTAAGCCTTCTTTGGCTAATCTATTCATTCGTTATTGGCCTATATGGCCAAGCCTAGCATGACATACGTGCTCACATCATTATCACACGAAGTAGAAGACGTGAAGTGGGAATAACTAACATTGACATTTACGTAATCAACATCCAAGATTACAATAAAACCATCTAGAAAATAACCACAACCATAATAACTCGTACCTAAATACAAGTCTACACCATTGTTATGGAAGTTCAAATTAAAACCAAGCTTAACCAACACTAACACGAGACACTAAATTTCGACGAATCTCGGGAGCATATAATACATCATGTAGGAACAATGTGCTGTCCACCACGCATCATCAACCTGCAAAAATGCCAAGCACTGACCCTAGTTTTAATTATGCCTCCCAATTGCCCCCACTAAACATAAAAAGATAAACCCTAGGCTTCCTCACCCTATATCATAATTTTCTCTCTTCTTTCGAGATGCTGAAATCCCGTGGTGCAATGATTTAGACTAATACAGAACTTTCAGTTTTCTTTTCTGATATTTTCGCTGCTTTTTATTTCAATTGAGAATCCATTTTACCATCCAAGAACATATGTGATGCTCTATTTCCTGCATTGACATTTTAATAAGTTATAAATCATTAGTTACATAAGTTATGTAACTAAAATTCTGCTTACTCATATCTACAAATTATGGGTCATTGCAAATAATTAATTAACTTTTCATATCTAGGTGTGTGCAAAAATACCTGCAAAACCGGCAGAACCAATAGTTATTAAAGGTCGCGAGGAGATTCTAGGTTTCAGAAGTTTAGAACTATGAGTATGGGAAAATCTCGGAGTCCGGAATCATTTCTAAGGAATGTATATGCACGTAAGGAAGGAAGCTACATACTATGCTTCCTGGGTGTTTTGTTTTAAGTGCAATATCAAGGGAACCCCCTCCCTAGCAATAAATATTTCAAGGTAACCCTTGGCTTTTTCTCAATAAGAACAAATTAATTTATTATATCTCTCATTAAATTAGTCATCCATTCAAATCTGAGCATATACTATCATTATAGTTAATAACACCAAAGTAAATATTTTATATCTCATTAAATTAGTCATCAATGCAAAGTCTTTTCTGTCAAGCACTCGCTTTTAGTATTCGAAGTTAAACAATTTTTACTAAAGAAATTTGGAAAAATACCTAACATGCCGCTATCACCTAAAATGCAGAAGTTCATACTTCACTGGTACAGGCTACAGTATTATCACAACTAAGCACTATTTTTTTCGTTCTTTTTTGAACTTTTCCATAAGATTAAATATTCAAATCCGACCCAAATACTAGGGGTGTGCATGATCCGGGTGGGTAATTTCCACCATAGAACCAGGAACTGCCCACTAAGGATCAGTTCCTAAAAATTGGAACTGGGAATCGCTCATTGGTTCCATAGATCCACCCGGAAATCGGATCGCCGGTGCGGTCCGATTTCCGGGTAGATCGATGGAACCAATCCTACCAAGCTTCATATGTCCGCATTGTAATATTATAAGGAGGTGCACGTATGCAGAACTTTTGGATCGACATTGACAGGAACACTAAGGAAAAAACCAAAAAAATGATGTGTTCTGGTCTCATTTCTGCATGCACAAGCAGATAAAGAGGCCAAGCCATTTGTCATGTATCCCCCCGAGAGGTCCCATGTGCTGTTCCGGTGTTCCCATATTCTAACACACCATCTCACCTCTGATGTTTGGGCATCTCCAGACGGCCTCATTCCCTAGAAAAAATCCCAATTTTAGATCAACTCCCAAATTTAACCTGAACGTTTTTTATCTCAGAAAAAATCTCAAACTTTAAATTCAGTCCCAAATATGCCCCGAACTTTTTTTTGTCTCGGAAAAAATCCCAAACTTTAAATTCAGTCCCAAATTTGCCCCAAAAATTATTTTGTGCAAAAAAAACATTACCAATTTTCAATTTATTTTCAAAAATATACCCCATGATTCGATCCCAACTTAACGCAAGACTTCCAGCGTCGATAGCAAATCCACATCAACAAAGTAATGGGACTTTTTTATAGACATAGAAAAGTTTGGAGTAAAACCTAAAAATTAGGTTTTTTATTAATTAAAAAAGGTTTTTGGGGTAGATTTGTTATCGTCCCTAACTTTCATATCTTAGAATGGTTTTATTTTGGAAAATTTCAATAATTTTTATTAGATTGGATTTGTTATCGAAGTGGAAATGCGACATCGCCTATCGCCCTATTACTTTGCTGATGTGGATTTGTTATCGAAGTGGAAGTGCTGGCGTTAAGTCGAGACTGATCACGAGATATATTTTTGAAAATAAATTTTAGCCAATTTTTTTTTGAAAATAAATTGAAATTTGTTGATTTTTTTACACAAAATAAAATTCAAGGTAAATTTGGGACTGAACTTAAAGTTTGGGGTTTTTTCGAGACAAAAAGGTTTGGAGCAGATTTGGACTGACCTAAAGTTTGGGGTTTTTTCTGAGATAAAAAGTTGGAGATAAATTTAAAATTTGACCTAAAGTTGAAGGTTTTTTTAGTGAATTCACCCATCACCAATGAGGCCCCCAATCACGACAAAGTTCAGACCTCAAATTATATATGTATCTGTGTGTATGTAAAAAATAGTAAAATTAATTTTCATGAAACAAACAAATAAACAATATCCTTCATAGTCTCCTTCCCTTTTATAAGATCCCATCACCAAGCCCCACCCTCTTGTTCCAATCTCACCGTCTACATCAGTCTCTCTCTCTCTCTCTCTCTCCCCAAAACAGAGAGAAAGAAAAGGAAAGATTATGGTTTCCCAAGAAGACATTGACCCACCTCCCTCAGCCCCCAGGATCTCATTCTCTGCAGATTTTCTTGATGAAAACGACTTCATATCCATTCACCCAGATGGCCATTTCCCCGACCAAGAAACCCAAGCCAAAGAAACCCCAACAGTGGACCTTGGAAAGAAACCAAGAAATGGTGAGTTTGAGTTCTTGGCCGCCAGCATGAGCACCCACAAGATGATGACTGCGGATGAGCTCTTTTTCGAGGGAAAGCTGCTCCCTTTCTGGCAAATGCAGCAATCCGAGAGGCTCAAGAGAATCACCCTTAAGCCGAAATCCGGAGACAGTGAAGAAGCCAGAGATGGAGGTCGAGATCAAGAACGAGTTCAAGAAGAGGAAAAGATGAGGAACAGCAAGAACAGTAGTAACAGAGACCAAGATCAAGAACAGAACAGAGTGAGTTGGCTACTTGACGACGACCCATCGCCGAGGCCGCCCAAGTGCACTGTCCTTTGGAAGGAGCTCCTGAGGCTGAAGACCAAGAGGGCTTCGTCCTCCCTCTCGCCGTCGCCCTCTTCATCATCCACTTCGTCTTCCTCGAGCTCGCTCGGCGACGTGGCTTCCATGGACGAGAGGAAGGAGGCCAGAGACAGAGACAGGGAGAGCAATAGCAACTACGTCCAGAGGATAAGGAAAGGGTTGGAGAGGACGAGATCGAACAGCATTAGGATCAGGCCCATGGTAAACGTGCCCATTTGCACGCACGTGAAGAGCGCGAGCGGTGGTGGGTCGTTGCCTCCTCTGTTTCCGCTCAAGAAAGGAAGAGTTTGAGAGAGAGATGTGGAAGGTGAAGGTGGAAGATGAAGGGTTCGGATCAGGGAGAGATGTGAAGATTTTTGTCTATGTTTTCCTTTGTTTCTGTTTTGCTTTCTTTCGTTTTTATTTTCGGGTCTACTAATTTCGTTGTTACGGCGGATCTGCTGATTTAGAATGTGCATATGCTGACTTTGTAATTTGTTTTGTGGAATTAACCATGACTCATTACATTTGGCTTCTTCCAGTGTCGTGAAAAGCAGGAATCTGCACTACATTGTGGCCTCAAATCACATGTACATCTCTTTTTCCATTTAGCAGATGATTGTACCACTGTCGATCTTAATCTTGAAGTGATTAGTGGATTAAGTTTTCCTAGCAATGGAACAAACCATTAGACGCTGTAGGTGATCCACATGATGAACCAGCAAAAAATGGGAGTGGAGTTGAGTTTTTGGTTTCAAAGAGGGGAGATAATCCAAGAGGAAGTATTAATGAAACTCATATGGAAATATGTAATGGTCGGGTTGTACTCGGGCCTTCCCATTAGGTTAGTTTTGGGTGTATCTAATGAGGAAATGAATTTATTGACCTTCTAATTTTTTACAGCACTTTCTTTTTCAGATGTGCAGACAAGGGATATTTTAATCTGTTCAGTAAATATGTTTCTCCCTACATTATTTGTCTTCAGTGTACATTCAAAGAAGTGATGGAAGTTATGTCTTAGCTTGGTGAGAAGCAATGGTCATCCCTTCCAACTTCGTTTGAATTAGAAATACTGGGCGGACTGGGCACTCCAGGTTAGACATTTTTTTGTCACGATCTGTTTGCACTACACTTAATTGATTTTATGTGTTAGGATTGAGTTTTGTCGTGTTTGTGTCTTAAATAGGTCAACTCGTCTATATACAAAATAGTAATGTCTTGTACGCAGATTGACCCTTTCAGCCAATTTATGACATGTTTAGACATGCTCAATAGATAGATTAATATATTGAACATGTCAAGCGGTGAATGCGTAACTACGTGTAGACATCATTGTAGACATCATAATATACGTTTAAGGATATTTTCGCATATGTTTTGCAAAACGAAAAAATAACATTTCTACAAGTTTTTTTTGTAGAAGAGTTTTATGTCTTAAAGGTTTTATATATCGTGGCTTGTAACTCTCTTAATAATTGTGTCGTGTTTGGATTTCAAGCACATAACATGATTGATAAACATGGCGCGTTCTAATTAAATTGAACACAAGCAAAAATTTTGACACCAGCATGCTTATGATAGAAAACATGAATCGTCGACCCTATTTTAAATGGAATGTCCATTAAACCTAGAGATTAAATCGTGGTTCCTATTCTTATCATTCACATTCACAGAAAATCAATTCTGTAAAATTATAAATCTAATTATTAAATAACGACAATTCATATAAAATGAATCATATCTCGAAGAAGGAGATCATCATTAGAACAGAAAATATAAAGAAAGGCAAAGTTGCTGATTTTGATTATGATGGCTTGTTCATATTAAGTGAAAGTTTGGGTCTGTCAGAGTGTCATAAGCAAATAACTAGAGTTGAACAGGGCCTTCCTCCTAAAGCTAGTAATAGAGGCTTCCAACAAAGGTTCTTCCACTCATGATAACTTATCTACATTGCCACTTAATTTTGTGAATCCACAACCTGGCAATATGGTGTTTCCCCATGTGCATCTCTGTAGTAAGAGCTCACTCCAAATCAATATGTGCCTTAGGTTTTGAAGGATGTCCTACAAGCACCACCAAAACCACCTGATGATATTGGTGGGATGGGAGACATCAATTCTTCTGCTAATTCACCTTTGTTAGAGGTTCTACATTGCCATAAAGAGACAACTCACATGAAGCCTGATGAGGATGTTGATATGCCGAATTCTATGATGCTAGACGGCTCCATCTAGCTGCTGTACCCTTCTCTTTTTCGAACATTTCATTTTTGCAGTTGTTAAGTGGAATTGCCGAGATATGGGGAGTGAAAAGTTTTTAGCCACAGCTAAGAACTTGATTCATTTGCGTAGAGTTCAAGTGCTTATTATTATTAAGTCGAGAGTAAGTAGAATTCAAGCTGTAGAAATAATTAGGAAGTTTCACTTTCCTGATCATACTCGGGCTGAGGCACAAGGTTTTTCGGGAGGAATAAGGTCATTATGGCGTGATGCTTTCTTTTCTATAAAAGTAGTCCAAATTGATTCTCAATTTATTCACATTCGAATAAAAGAGAGGGGTAACAGAATTCCGTGGTTGACTGCTGTCAATGGCAAACCAGATGAATTAGCTAAAGCATAATTGAGAGGTCAACTTGTACAAGTAGCTGCTATAATAACAGGACCTTGGATGGTCACACGTGATTTTAACGACATTGCGTTTCCAAACAAAAAGAATGGGGGTGCATCAGTCAATGCTGCGAAATGTCTGGGTTTAAAGAGTAGATCGACAAATTATCGTCTCATTGATCTTGGTAGGGTGGGAATGAAATTTACAAGGCATGGGCAGAAGTGGAATGGATATAATCGGGTATTTAAGTGCCTTGACAGAGTATTATGTAATCTTTCTTGATGTTTATTGTTTGTTGATGCGACAATTCGAGCACTTCCAAGAATTAAATATAATCATCAATCTCTCTGGATTTTTCTAGCAGTGAGAGCACTCCCAAGGTAAATTGGCCTTTTCGTTTTGAAGCAGCTTGGCTAACTCATTCTTTTTTAAATGGTTTTGCTCAACTAAATTGAAATTATGAGTTATCGATTCATGTTATTCCGGCCCAACTTCAAAACAACTTCAAGGAATGGAATCAGAATGTCTTTGGGAAAAGTGTCAGAAAAGTCTTAAACTTTTTGCATAGGTGATAATTGAGTCATAAATCTATTTTTGGTGCCAATTGAGTCATAAACTTTTTACATGCCAATTGAGTCATAAACTTTTTTTTTGTACCAATTGAGTCATAAACCTTTTGTTATTGTGCCAATTCAGTCCTTCCAGCAAATCTTGGCTAGATTTTGATGACGTGGACGCCGGCCGGCGGCCAGTCACCGGCGCTGACGTGGAAAACTTTTAATAATATTTTAATATTTTTTGAATTTTTATTTATTTATTTTCTTTTTCTTTTTCTTTCTTCCTCCCCTCCCTCCTTCCTCCAACCAGTCGCCGGTCTAGCGACCGGCCAGAGGCCGGTGAGGTCCTTGTTGGCCACGGGCGAGGCTTGCCCTCGTTGGATGGCCGCAAGGGCGGCCTCGCTCTGGGCTGGTGAGGTCAAGCCTCGCCCAGCCATGGCGAAGCTCACCTTCGCCCTCGCCTTCGTCGTCGCTAGCGAGGGCGAGCCTCACCCGTGGCCAGCATGGCTTGCTAGAGGCCGGCGACCGATTGGAGGAAGGAGGGAGGGGAGGAAGGAAAGAAAAAGAAAAGGAAAATAAATAAATAAATAAAATTCAAAAAATTTAAAGTATTGTTAAAAGTTGTCCACGTCAACGCCGGTGACCGGCCACTGGCCGGCTGGCGTCCACGTCAGCAAAATCAGGCCAAAATTAGCCGAAAGGACTGAATTGGCACAAAGACAAAAGGTTTATAGTTCAATTGGCACAAAAAAAAAAGATTTATGACTCAATTGGCACCAATGCAAAAGGTTTAGGACTTTTCTGACACTTTTCCCGAATGTCTTTAGAAACATTTTCAGAAGAAAAAATGATTTGTTGGCTAGATTGGGAGGCATCCAAAAATCATTTGAGAAATGTACAAATCCTTCTTTGTTAAAGCTTGAAGTGAAGTTACAAAAAAGAGTTTGTTGATATCTTAGTTCAGGAAAATATCTATTGGTATAAAGTATCTTCATGCTACCAATATGGTTGCAGTTCGGGGATAAAAATACAAAGTTATTTCATGCTACCATAATCATTCCTTGTGGAAAGAATAACATTGATGCTACGAAGAATACCAATGGAGAATGGGTGTCTTACCGAGAGGAATTGAAAGGCATTGTGGTAGATTTCTACAAGAATTTTTTCACTGGGGATGACTTAGTCCCAACCGTGGTTCTGCAGTTTAACAGTTTTCGAGTCTTGAGTTCTTCATAAGCTTCAAATCTAGCTAAGCTAGTTGAGAAAGTAGAAGTACACGGAGCACTATATGATATAGGACCTTACAAAGCACCCGGGCCGGATGGCTCCCAAGTAATTTCTTTCAACATCAATGGAATTTGGTTGGTACTTTGGTTGTTAAAGTTATTGTTGAGGCTTGTAGTTGGGCTGAGATTAATATAACTATCTTAATACTGATCTCAGAAGTGCAACAACTAGAGACAATCAGCAATTTTGGTCTAAAAAGTCTATGTAATGTCGCTTACAAAATTCTTGCCAAAGTGCTTGTTAATAGACTAAAGGAAGTGCTTTCACAACTCGTGTCGTCTAATCAAACCAGCTTTATTCCTGGTAGACACAGTTAGGACAATGTTATTACTGCACAAGACATAGTTCACTGGATGAGCAAACTCCAAGGGAAATGAGGATATATAATCCTCAAAATTGACCTTGAGAAGGTGTATGATTGACTTAAGCAGTCCTTCACTAAGGACACTCTTCGCATGTTAGCTGTTTCGGGGTTTATGGTTCAGCTCATTATGTATTGCATCACATCATCGTTTTTGCAAGTTTTGCGGAATGGCAAGACCACGGAGGAATTCTTTCCAAGCAGGGAAATACGTTAAGGAGACCGCCTCTTACCATAGGTCTTTCTTTTATGCATGGAATGATCTCACCTCATTAATGATGCAATGAATTCAATACGATGGAAACCTTTTTGTTTACGAAGGAGGGGAACACGAACTTCTCATCTGATATGCATGGAGATCTACTGTTAATGTCAGAGGCTTAGAGAGATCAAATGGCTGTCATCATGGAATGTTTAGGTGATTTTTGTAACAGAATAGGGCAAGTTGTGAGCAAGGCTAAAACTAAAATTTTATGTTCAAAGATTACTTCTCAGGGGTTGAAATGAAACTTGAGTGAAATTTCTAGTTTTGATTTATGTTCGGAGCTAGGCAAATATTTGGGAGTGCCTTTGATTAGTGGAAGAACTTCTTCGAGGCATTTTCAATCGATATTATAGAGGACTAATAATAGACTAAGCGGATGGAAATCTAAAAGCTTGTTAATGGTAGTTGGAATATCTTTAGCTCAGTCTACAGTTATGTCTATCCCTATCAATCATATGT